GAAAAGGGGCAATTTTACAGCTTTCTTTGAAGTGGTGAAACAGCTGTGTGTCCTAGAGTCCTAAAATAATTGATTTGATGACAGGAAAGCTCCATGAGAGTGATTAAAAGGAAATTTGTTTTTCCTTTTGAAACAATTGGCAAAGAAGGCAAAGGAAATCTTACCACTACATTACTCTGAAAAAAAACATAAATAGAGTTTATGGAAAGATTAAATTTCTTCAGAGACAGGAGTTTTTTGGATCAATTCAACTACCAAATGACACAGTCCACTCCACCCTTAGTCCCTACTTTTCTTAGTTGCAGCATTTTGAAAATGGTTTCATCTTGTCCTCTGAAAATGCACTTGTAATTTTCACCTTTAAGATTTTACATGCATGGAAGACTGTAAACTATGATTATATAATAATCTACTATCATATACGTCCTTTTTCACAGTGGTAAATATATAGGTTTATTTCTTAGAAATAAGTTGCAAAAGTATGCATTTGTAACTCTTACTAGTATCGTGGACAATGGAACATGTGAAAAAACATGCCTTGATGAGATGATGTAAATACTAACAAATTGAAAATAGAGAGTCTAAGACACAAACATGAAACTTCAATCATTTAAAATGAATTAGCAAGCCTACTAGGTCAACTTCTATCATCACCTTCAGGAATGCAGTTTTTCAACAATTAACACTGACGAATTAAACACGTATTACAAAGAGAAGAATTTGGCTTTTATTTTTTAAATTTATAGTGAGATTAATTTTATCATAGTAAATTTGGATCCACTGTTTTCAGATCTTCAAAACCAGATCTATTTATGTCTTCTTTTTTTAAAAAAAGCCCACTTTTTTTTTCCAAAGTAAATTCTTAATAAACCATAGTAAATAGGGTATGAAATCCCACAAAGACTTGAAGAAAACCTTGGTTGCTCTGCCAAAGTTTTCTTTACATATCAGTCAAGTCTGCTGGAAGACAACTTATGTCTCATAGATTTTATTTTTCATCATTTTTTGTACACTGTTACTAGTTATGACTTTGTTTAATCTTCTAACTCTAAGCTACTAAAGCCAAGAATTCTACTTCACTTACTGCATACAAACACCCCATATATATACACACACACACACACACACACAAATGCAGTTTTTCCCTGGTGTGATGTATGATTTTGCTCCTCAGAATGAATTCTTTCAGCTATAAAATATCTCATAGACAATTCCATGGGTTGGTAAATAAAACCTGATCTTTTGTGGATTAAAACTGCAATATAAATATGAATAAATGTTTGGAAAAATCTATGCAGCCCTTATAACAAACTGCTATCGCAAAAAAAAAAATTGTGACAGTCTTCCAGTTTTGGTATTTGTACTATAATGTATATTGCCCTGAAGAAAATTCTTCTTGTTCTGAACATTTCATAATTAAGTGAAGCAGTGATCAAAAGGTCCTGCACATAGCACAGTGCAGACACACAAAAGCATGTCAGATCATAACACCTTGCAATATATAATACTGTAATAGCAAGGCAATTGAGGAGGCCATGCATGATACATAAAGGAAGGTTTTGAAAACAATGTCTCTTGAAAAATTACTCTTTTAGGACAGCTTTGGTATCAGCTGACTCTTAACTGTCTTTATGATTTAAAAAACTCTACCCTGAGAATTCTGCAGACTGAATTCACGCTTGGGCCTTCACAGCTGAAATACAACCTGCAGGAACAGCTTTCGTTGTGGTCCTGCTGTTGGTGTAGACATGCAGAACCGCTTTTGAGGTTGTCATTCATTACTGTCTTCGTTAATTATAAGCCTGCCTCTCAATGGATCTAAATACCTACTCAAAGAAATCTATTGCTATTTGTATTGGTATCAGTATCAGTGCAGGCTCCTTCTTATGACAAGAACTCCTAACACTGGGAAGGAACATTGGAAGAATGTAAAGCATTTTGAAGTGTACCCAGAACACCAACTAGTTCTGCAATTGGAATTGGAAAAACAGATTTCGCCACTGGATATTTTCTAATGAACTCGGGGTGTAACACATATAGTATAAATCTTGCAATACTGCAATGGAAGCAGATTTTACTGGACACATTCTATAAAATAGCATGATGCAGCTGAAGCTAGCCAGCAGGAGCTTCAATCCAGCTCACACAATTTCCCCGGAGAACATGCAGAATGGCTGTTTGGGCAGGAAAAGTACCTCCAACAGGAAAATGCTTTTCCTTGCACTTGCAAACATGCGAACCACAAAACCACTCAGTAGCTGCTGCTGTGTCTCTCATCACAGGGAAAGCAGCAAATCTGGAGAGACCCCTCCCTCTGTGCAAGAGCTTTGTCTAGCAAGGCCAAAGGTAAGGTAAAGGACAAGGTAAGCAAGGAGGAGTTGCTGAGGTTGTCCAGGTCCTGGGGAACATGGTGGATGCAGTACTTTAACATGATTCTCTTAGTTGCAAACATTAAATCACCATGTCGTACCAGCTTGTGCATGTGACTGGCAGGTGAGCACTGCAGAGGATTAAAGGAGGCGGCACAGAGAGGCAGCTTTTTAACAGTGAACACTGTCCTAGCGGATAAAAGTTGCCACTGATTCACTTCATGTTATGTGACAAAATGTGGATTACTTCAGCAATCAATTTAAAATGTTTGCTCCCAGTACTGCCTGGAGTTTGCTGCACAGCTGTTGTGCGAGAGTGGGTTTAAATACTGTTCCACTTTACACAGTAGAGGAGAAATTGTGTTACAATAGCACCATGTATTAAGATACTTATTGGAAAGATTTATACTGTAACTACTGAATGCTGTGTTCATTAGAAAACACCCAGTGGAAATACCTACTTATCCAATTCTGATTGGAGAATTAGTTGGTGTTCTGCATACACTTCAGAAGGCTTGACAGCAAACTTAACACAGTATAATTGCAACATTACCCTGACTAGATGTCCCAAAATCCAATGCTATCCAACAGATATGCAAGTACAAATAGAAAATAATAGAAAAGAAGTTTAGGCAATCAAAGAGTTGCCAGTGGGGGAGCTTGAAAACATGGAGGACTTATCAATTTACAACTTTGTGTTTGCTGGTATTATAAAAAGTAGCCCATCTGGAAGTGCGGGAATTTCACACAAGAAAGAGTCTAGCATTTGTTTAAAATGTTATTATTATCCCCAAGTGCCTATTACATTTATTTTGTGTGAAGGAAAAAACATAAAAATAAGGAAAACTGAAAACAAGGGGCTATTTTGTAATCCCAGTTGTTATAATGATTGTTACTAGTAACAGACTTCTCTTCCACATATGTGAAAGGAGAAACTCCTTTCACCTTTAGGCAAAAAAATTTCAAAATAAGATTGCAAGCAGAAAGGGAAATGTGTGGGACTTTCATGCCATCCTTTTAGGCTGATCTACTTGTAACTAATGATAGATAGAATGGATGCACAATAAAAAGTGAAAGAATAATTGCAGTGCGTCAGGTTAATGACCTGACTTCTGTTAATTCCTTTGACATTTACAGAGCATGGACTATTTTATAATTAAAATGCTTCATAGGGAAGTTTTAGTTGTATCATCTATTAAAAAGCAGGACAGTTTTGAAATTAACAATATCCACACAAGATTTGATGACTAGAGTTACTGAAGAATTGCAAGGCTCTAGTCACTTACAATGAGCTCCGAATGCTACAGCAGTGATGTTAATAAGTACTCTTTATGTATGGACTTTCTTACTGTAGTTTCTAAAATAAAGGATACTGTGAGGATGTCAAACACTTAATTCCAGAATCCCCTATTTTGTATCTGTGCATGAGTACAATAACTCAATTTAATTAAAAAGGACAGTTAAGTTGCATAGAGAATAAGGAAAGAAAAAAAAATTTGAGTGAATACCCAGCAGGACGTATTCAATGTCTCAGCTTAGACTTAAAATGTGTAGAAGTTGGACACCTGAAGGTGAACCAACGAAACAATGGCATGGTCTATAGAGGCACCAAAGAGAAAGAGCTCCAAATGGTGACCTACAAATATTCAATGCTGAATGAAAAGCTGCCTAGGTCATTAGGCAACATAGGACAGAGGCCTCCCATTAAGCTGCCTAATTCCAGATTGCTTATTGACAATTTTCTGTCACTTGAAATCCAGAGTTGTAGATTTTTCTGGATAGTAGGTATCTAACTGACCAGGACTCAGCATTTCAAAACCTTTCACAGAAACCTGATTCTAAATTCTTTCACCCTGCAGGGATTCAAATATATGTCTTTTCTTTCCCAGTGAAGTCCCATGAAAACCAGGCTCAGAATGAAGGCATTGACAGATGTGCCTTTGTGTACTGAGCTCGAGGTCTAAACCATGACTTGCCCCTGGCTTTTAACTCCTGCCAATCACCTGGAGATTGGCACTTCCTCAGCCATGAACAGTAACCAGGTATGAGAATACCATCTCATATTCTGCTCAATTTAACCAAGCTGTGGGCTGCTGAAAGTCATTATCCCTCTCTCCCCCCAGTTCACTTTCTCCTTTGTGTTAGATACAGCAATCATCTGGCAACAATGTTGTGGAAAACTAACCTGCCCCATACCAAAACCTGCCACTGATCCAAACCCATGGTGCAGTTACACAATCACTAAAACCGATGCAAGAACCAGAGAGTGGGATCAACCTTTTTGGCAGCTCCCAGTTTGATCCAACTGACTGTGTGAAACTGCACCCTGAATGCTCTTAAGTAGTTCAGGGCAAAGATCAGCTATCTGACAACACATCTGCAACAGTGCCATCAGACTGAAGGACCACACAATGGTGACTGGTACAACCTAAGTTTCCCTCTCTTCAACACATGAACAACGTAGCTGAATGACCTCTTTTCACCTCCATCTATTGGTGTGTAGTTCACATCCCTACATGTATCACGCTTGAGTCCAGCCCGCAGAGGCTGATAACATGTAGGAGCTAGTGAATCCTCCTGCATTAGTAGACAAAGAGGCTGGGCGAATAATCATAATTACACCACTGTGCCTCAGTAAGTGAATGATAACTTTGGCCCTGTCAGTAAAGCTTTGTCTACAATCAGGGCAAAAAGGAAACAAATTACAGTGTCAGTTCTTAATCTGGCCTCATTTCCCTTGGCAATTATATTGGGTTGTTTGGGTTTGTTTTCTTTTTTTAGAACTGTACAGGTCAACTTCTGCTCTAAATAACTACAGGAAAATGCCAGTAGAACATTTACCAGATAGAAATCCCACAGTTCAGAAAAACTGTACTACAACCCATCTGGTAAAAATCAGTATTTAAATGTAGTGTGGCTGGTAGAGGTCTGATCCTGCCCTAGGAAATACTGTGCCAGCACATTGTCACAGTCCTCTGAAATTATTGAGTTTTGGCCCTGTACTGTATTCTCCGTTGCCGCTTTCAGCTATACAGGCAACTAACTTACTCTAAGTAGTGACTGCAAAGAAACAGCCAGGCATTTCCACCTGACGTTATCTTCTCACTTGGGATTAGTGTCCTACTGCGTGTCCTATTTTTTAATGAAACTTGAAGTATAAAAATTCAACACAATGTAAAAAAAAATTAAAATACACAATTTAATTCACTTACCTTTGGCTTCCTGCTTAGTCCAGAATTCTTTCACTCTCTTAAAAATGTTTTTGTCCTCTCTCAGTTGCTTTTGCCACTGACGTAGCTCTTGTACTTCACTATCACAGCGGACCTGGGAAAGGGAAAACAGAAAATGTAACTAAAATTATTTATGTTCATGTTACCCAAGATGACAATGCAATTTTTTTCATGGGCTGTGGCTGGGCAAATACGTGACATCCATCCTTTTTGCTGGGCCTTATATAAAAGCACAATCCCAGAGGTTTACAGTTTTCAACTTATACAGAAGTAAAACCCACATAATTGACAGACCCCATTGAAAACATAAATATGCCAATTAGGGGATCATTTTGATTACCAAGGACTCCTGAGAATGTGACTGCAGTGAGATGCTTATTCTTTGAGTTAATTAAAATTTAAAGCGTTATGCTGAAGGGTATTAGTGCCCTTAGAAAACCACAACACTATAAAATCAACCCACTGACCAATATAATAGAGTAGAAGAGGAGCATGAAGGGTTGTACAGCAGGAAATTTATTCCAGCAAACTGATTCACACCTGCTATCAGCTGCAAATAGGCTTACTGACAATCCCAGCCATGCAATTTTCACAAACAGAAGAGCCATTAATCTGTTATTTAAAGTAATTGGAATGAATTACATGATATCTATTCTTTGTCAGTCAATCACCCCTATGAAGGGCATAATTCTGCTTCCACATAAAATGACAAGAGTCACAGGCCTCGACTCCATTTAAAATTTAAGTTGAATTCTTCTATTATTGCTTTTGTACTGGTGTAGATCCTACTAATATAAGAAAGAGCTAGCTTTGCATCAACAGCTTCTACCACTCTGCTACTTAAACTTGTTCTGAGCAGGATTTGATTAATTAGCAGTGTGTTACCAGTTGTCTACCTCGGCATTCACACAATTACTACCTTCAGTGCTAGAGCAAAAATCCAGAATAGATACCATCGTTCTGACAACAGTGGGACAGGGACATGCTAGTATTAGCTTAGACGTTGTTAAGTGATTATTCTCTTAGAGTCATATTCAAATTATAATAGAACTATTAAAAATGCAGTTTCTGTTTTTCCTAAATGTTATATATATAAAATGTCATTATGTTTTAGGACTCAATGTCCTAGTAATTCAGGCTGAAGTTGAATTACATGGTAGAAACAAGCAGCAATAAGCTTGGTTTCTCCTGGACACATTTTTGCTTTCAGAAAGCAGACTACTTAGTCTTCTAGAAAATTTCTTATATTTATTTTATTCTTATAAATGATATGGTAATGAGTTTGCTCTGTGATTTGAACTCAGTTATACTATTCCATTACACTCTGGTTTTGTCTCACTTTCCTGAGATACATACAGAGCAAAAGAGCAGGACTTACTTTTCCACTAGTTTAAAACAAACAAACAAACAAACAAAACCTTAAACCAATATAAATTATTTATCAAAAGTATTCTTTCCACCCAGAATTTCTCCTTTGTGGTGCAGCTGAGAACGCAGTAGACAGTAGCTGAACTCCCACAGCGCTTTTCAATCCACTTAGGAGCAGATAACTTGCTATATTTCAGATAGTGCACTGGCAGAGCAGAAATACAATACAAGGTTATGTGATCAATAAAGACAGGCAAGACTTTTACTCAGTGAATTGACATCAGATACCTCTTAGGCCTCTAATAATATCTTATTATACTAATATAGTTCTGTATTATCTTCTATAAAAGCTGTAAGAAGTTCTTACAAGGTTGATATGCAATTTTAAAAATTAAAAAAAAAAAATTACTGTTACTAGTGAACTTCTTTTCAGCTATACAAAAAAATCAAAACCATTTTCTATTAAATCCATCAAATACTATTTGCAAAAATAAAATATAATCCCAAACATGGCATAGTTTCTTTAGGCTTGCAAGAGACATTTTTTTCTTTTATGCTGTCATGTATGCTTTTATAAAACCCATAATTCCCTATTACATGGAGTCAGTTTATCTGCACAGGAAAGGGTTAAGGGAATGCTTATGGGACATATAAATGACAGTAACAGAAAAGAAGCAGGAAGATAGAGAAATTACTACCTCTATGTCTAAATATAAAATTCCTGAAAAAATGAAGTGTCCATTTACAACTGCAGCTATGCAAGACCTGTATTTTGGCCCGTGACAGGGCCAAATATACTGAAAATGAAGACAATAACTCTTAACAGTTAAAACATAAAAGGCAAGTATGGTAGATTCTGTATACTCTCCCTAGATAAATAGAACAGTGACAGTATAGTGAAATACATAGCAAAATACAGGGTTCTGAGATAAAGGCATAGTCAAATAGACTCAAATACTCCAAAGTCCAACATTAAATCCAAGCAGTGAACATGAGCTCCGAGAATAAAGTGATTTTTTAGAAAAGTGAAAGAAAAGAAAAAGGAGCACAGATACGCCACCTGCAGTAAAACAGGTAACAGGAACTTAACAAAATACTATCAACATGTTCCAAATATGCTTAATGGATTATAATTTAGCACAGTTGTAATAATTTCTCAGAAAGTAGTCTATCTTGTAATCAGACTGTAATTCTACCATGATTAAAAAGCCACAACTCAGCAGCAAAAATCTCCAAGCAAATAATCAGAGAGTCAAGAGTCTTGTCCGAACAACTGATGTGTTTCTCCTGCAGACCAGCAATGCATGAAACGCTGAAGGGGTCTTAACTTTGAAGTGAGAGTTCACTCTCACCCAAGTCACTTGGATTGAATCTACACTTGCTGTAAATAACAGCAAATATTCGTGTGACCTTCTGGGTTTGAGCCCTTGCTAGTAGCCACAACTTGCTGGAAAGGAATATAAATTGTGATAGCAAAAGCACAATAATATTTTGTAAAATATAAAGATAAACCTACTTCGATTCTGATTTAACTTTTGCTCAAGCAATATTGATGTATAAAATAGCACTCAATATTTACATAATACTGTCCCATTTAAACTCCATGATATTACAAGATTTAGTCAAAATAAACTTCTTTCAATGCTAGGTGAGAACATGTTGCACAACAGCGGAAAGATAACACTTTAATACTAGAGGAAATTGTATTAATGAAAAATCCCTTCAGTCTAGAATAGTTATGCAAATTGTAAAGATTAAAAAGACCCCATAAAACAAATGGCACTAAGCACAGATTCTGCAGTAGAGGGGTGAAGGAATATATCATCTTTTATTGGGAAAGTGCCTGGAAAATTGATACCTGCCAATCAAGGGTTTTGGTCAGATACTGAAAACTGCCTTGGCCCATGACAGATGAATGGAACCCCAATAAAAGAGGATGATAAGAAGTGAAGAGAAAGAATTCTGATGACAGACCTGTCTCAAGTCTTCTTTGGCTGCTTCTCCTTGCCCTCAAAGAGACCCCTCAGAATGACATCTTCCTTTCTGATTTCCTTAGAGTACTCAGCAGTTGCAGCTTCCACTGCTGCTTGTTCTGGAATTTAATTCTTGACTAAACTTGACATGATTTTCAGAGTACTCATCAATGTCTTTGTATGAAAGATTGTAGCAAGGACTTTGTTGATGGCAGCCATTAATTATTATGACCGAAACAAGTATTTTTCTGAAATTTGCTTCAGATAAGGATGAATGTACTGCTTTGATCATGCTTTATTATCAAAAGTTCTCAATATTCTGTACCTATAGCTTTTTTTTTGCCTTTACATAGAAACATCTTTACTGCCTGATCCATTTTGCTGATTGCCATGTGGTTTTGATACTGGCACACTCAGATAGCTAGATGTGGCAGAAGCAAGGTATCATGAGAAGACACGATGCTCAGTCAGTTATATAAGTAGATAAACTCTACTGCCTAGATCAATATGGTTAATGAAATATCTCAAAAATGGGCTGAGTCCATAGAAGACAGCTCTGAGAAAAATAACCTGCTGTGGTTTCTCATACTTTATATGACATTGTTTAAGAACAAAAAACTTACAAGGTTCACATTTGGGATAGCACTGTTAAAGACAAAACTATCCTGCCTAGATTTCTGAGCCTTTTACTTTTTTTGAAATCCAACAGTGTGTCCAGAATCCTTCTCCATCCGTCTTTCAAACAAGTACCTATGGCATGTGATTTTATGTCCCTTACAGTGTATCTTGAGAAGACCAATGATGAAGTACACTGTTCCTTTATCACAGTGCCATGTAAAATATGTACGTGTGCTTGTGTTTAATTATTCAATGTTATCACCATGTGTAAATTTTTGTTTCAATAATAGTGTTTAAAAGTTCCAAGTTCTGTGAATTATAAAACAAGGGTTAATGAAAAACATCAAAAAGAGTTTAAAACAGTGACACACTAATATCCTTAGAATGCAAAAGGACATTATTTGTAAGTGTTGTTATTACCAAAATAAATCAACGTTAGCTGACAGGCATATTTATTTTAAAAGCAAATAATCTGAATTGTTTAGTAAATTTTCATAATATACCTTTACATTAATGCAATGAAACCCCATTTAAGCTTAGAGTTCTCTTAATTTACAAGCCCAAGGATAACACATTGCCCTATGTAGTAACTTGCTACTAATGATTTTTTATTTTATATTCTGATTTTAATTTTAATTTTAATTTTTAAAAACCCAAGTTCTTTCAGCTCTAATAAGCTATGTAACAGCTAATTTTATAGTCTGAATTATTTTTGATGTCTCCTACTTTTTATAGGTACAGTTTCTCTCTCACTTCTGGGAACTGGTTTAGAATGATAAATACTATTGTGAAAATTTTTAAGTTAATACATATAGCAAGGAAGGACAGTGCCCTGCAGAAGCTCTGGTAGAAGCAAAAGGTATCTGAGCAACCTTGCACTGTTCAGCAAACATAACTGTTACTGGATAATGGTTGCCTTTGCGATACTCCACTGTAAGGGTGCCTGCAGTGGTATTGTCAGTGCTCATTAATGTTAGTGTCAATGCCAACTCTGTTTAAAAAAAGAAAAATAAAGGAAAATGAACAACGAGAAAGCATCACAAAAATCTATCAGTCAAGAAGATCATTTCAAGGTATTTCATTATCTTTGGCTGCATGGCACATTATAGCAGCCACTCATATATTCATGCTTGTTAAAAGTAGTAAAGAAGAACTTAACAGAGTGTTATATACTGATTGTTATTTAAAGAACACTTGATGTACAGACAGAGATGTCTCAGTGTCCATCACAACGAAACTACTGCTATATCTGGAGGCTATTTACAAGCTTAAATTTTGATAAAGGCAGTCAAAGGTGTTTCTTTGTCACCAAAGTCACCTGAATTTCAAGTCCATTTCTTTCCAAGGCATGAAGGTGTTAGAGCCTTTCAAAGAAATATTTGACAGAATCTGTTCAGGATTTTCAAAATAATTTATTTCATACCCTAGGGTTAGCATGGCTGTTACCCTCCAAAATAATAGTATTAGCCAATTTTTCTTTGTATTTATTTTATGCGCCTTGCTTTTCCCCCTTAAATTGGGGATTGCATTAGTGTTGTATTACTAGTATGGCTTGCAACATCTGCTTGCCATTTTGTTTTACCTTTCCTTGAATAACAGCCTTCATGCCTCTCCTACATCTCCTGTCTCATTCTAGGTCTCAGTTTTTTGTCCTTTGTTTCTGTATGCTTTTATTCCTTAACAGACCTCACCAATTCTCCTTGTGCATCTCCGCATGCACTCACATATCCCTGCATGAAGCAAAATAACACTTCATCCTTTAGCAACTAGCCAAAGATCAACTAAAAAAAAAAAAAATTCTTCAGTGTTAACTGTACTTCTGAAAATTGAATTTCTGCAGATTTTCTGTTGTTGAGGAAAACAGTGAGATTACATCAGTGTAAATGCCTGTGAAAAAATTGCAGTCACTAGGCATAAGGCAGAGCAACATCCAAAGCCAATGAACCATGGGGGTCTCAGCAGCTATTTATAGTATCCCCTACTTAAAATTTATGTAAGGATTTTCCCTGGGGCCTTCACAGTCCTACGGTTTTCAACATCAAGCAAAATAATTATAGATTACTCTTACCCGATAACCTCTCCAGAAGGACTGAATTACTATGCTTGCTTCTTCTTCTGATAGAAGGAGAGATAGAGGAATTGGTGGCCTAGGACTTAAAAAAAAAAATAATGTTTCATAAACAAACAGCCTATAAATGTAAAATACTTTCTTCCCTAACAGTATATTTTATAAAAAAGAGAAAGGTTGTTCAGGAGCTTGAAAGATACAATTTCTTACTGCTCCAAAGATAAAAGGTGCAAAGAATATCTCCTTTAAAAATATATTCTGTTACGTACGCTACAATCATTTCTTCTTTAAAACAATAGTATACAAATGGCATATCCAGCACAGTAATCTTTCTTATTCTTCTACATGGATTGCAAATTCATACTATTATGGTAAGGTTTGGGGTGGCGGTTGAAGGGGGGCGAGAGAAGTAGGTGTGCCATTTGTAAAGCAGAGGAGGTTTTAGTATGCATGCAACAATGAACAGACTCATGACGTTAATGATTATAACAATTATTAAATACATAGAATATAAATATATTTTAGTACATTAATTTACATTATGATTTCACTTAAACTTAAAATGTACTGAAAAAAGTAATTATTATTATATCTGCATAAGCATGGATCCATGTTTAGTAATGTCTAAACAAGTTCTTAAAATGCTGAAATTTTAGTTTTGATAGCATATACACATTGTTTGGTGATAAAGGAAAGTAATACATATGTGAAGTCAACAATTTTCAGCCAAAATATACAGTAATTTGAAAGCATGTTTGGCGATTCTGTTGCTACCAATTTTAATGGGAAATACTCTCAACTATAATTACAATTCAGCCATCACTAATAAAAACTCAAATCACTGTACCAAATCTTGCTTCTCAAAAGCCATTTTCTATGGATGTTGATCTATTTCTCTCACACAATGATCAGAAAGCATCCATCGGAAAGGACAAGACAAAATTCATTTATATAGTTTCTTTCATAACACATGTAATTTAAAGTTAATGAGCTATAGGGCAATAATGTTGCAAGTCATGAAAATACCAGTTATAAACAGCAGACTTGGCAGTGTTAGAATGGCGCTAAGAGCCTCTCTCCCTGCATGGGAAACAGACTGAACATAGCTTTGACTTGGAAGACCACAACATTATGAATTTGGATGCAGCAATCATCTACAGATACGTGCAACCCATGCAGGAACATTATTTATATTATTTATACTATAAAGACACATATACTGCAAAGACCATCAATTAATAAGCTATTTATGCAGTCTTACATTTTCTGGCTAAAACATTACTTCTGCCATTTCTTTTGGAAATTTATTTTACAGTATATTACAGCTCAAGCTAGGAGGCTTGACAGTTACATTTTCCTTTCACTTAATTTCATTCATATTAGTCTCTGCCCTAGTAAGCTTCCTATGCTCTCCGACGTCTTTCTCTTAGGGCTTGTCTTCACTGAAGGAGCATTTCAACTTGGAGCACAATCTTAACTATTATCTAATGCTACACTGACTACACCATTTTAGTCTGTGTACTCAGCTAAATTGGTCTCATCATCATGTCAGTTGGGTTTTGGCCTACATTTGTTTCAACGTGAATTAAAACCTTGGTCTGTTTGGAAGAGCAGAAATAAGACAAAAATAAAAATAAGTCTCTTCATTAAGCTAAACAGTTTTAGCTCTGTGAACATTAATTAGCATTTCTACTGCTCAAGGGACATCATAAGTGCTGGACAAGCAAGGCTTCCTGAGCTACCAGCTTCTTATAATCACACTTAAAAATACAAAGTTGGACTGTGCTGGTTTGGCTGATAGGCTTTCATCCTCTGTTCTATTTTTGATCTTTTTGAAAACCAAAACTTGGAGTGGGAAAATCACAGAAAGACCTACATATTTTACAGCAGTTCTATCAAAGACATAGAACTTTCTCTAAGAATGAGTACATCTCCAAAGAACAAATTGAGATTTCTTCCAGCCTGCAAGGGCAACTCTAGCATTCATAAGCTTTCATTTCCAAATTGTAAAAATGTCTAGTTCGTAATCAAACACTAAATTTGAGAAACCAATATAAAAATCAAGCAAGAACAGGACTTAATTTTCAGTATGACAGTCATTGGCAAACATCAATCATTTCAATGGGGCAGCTTTAAAGAAGAGAAGTCATGCCAGGTCCACTCTTGTCTGAGAGAATATACGCAATTGGCTTCGGGTCAAATAAAAATAGCATCTGAGCAGAGGCAATCACCCCTCAGCAGTGAACTAGGAAAAGAGGGAATATGTCATATGTGGCAGAAGACAGCTGTATGCCTCCAAGAAGATTAAAACTGACAGTAAAATGTACACTAACTATATTCTGCTTATTTAGTCTTTGATTATGCACAATCTTAAAAGCCCACACATTAAACATATTGATATCTATTTTAATATATAGATAGATTGTTTAACATAAGTTGCACCTGTAGAAGAGCATCAGTAAAATAAGTTTTTCTTAAGTACTGTATTTTACCAAATCTGAATAAAGTAGACACTGACCAGAGGAAAGTTAAATTCCAAAAACATGTTTCTTCCTTTCTGAGCAAACTCGTACAGATCCTGATTATGTGAGATACTAATTATATTACATTATGCAGGTAGAATTTGGTACCCAGAAGATATACAGACTTGCATTAAATAAATGTATGAGGTATTGAAAAAGGTTCTTACTGAAGGCATGTATCTGATTTCCTCATGGACAGAAGCTGGGTTTCTCAATGAACTCTCAAGAAGGGGGGCAAAAAAGCCCTCCATTATCTTGTCACCAAAATAAACAACCTAACCTTTGGGGGTTTGTAGTGACGCTGATGGACACTGTATACAGTTAGTATTTTCACACAGTAATGTCCAGAAACCCCAATTGTCATTAAGTTCCCAACCTGTCCTAGAAACAGAAGGTCTGACTCCTTCCTTGAAAAGGAAATATTAAGAAAAAAATTAATCAAGCAAAATTTTCACTATGCATAATTCAGGATTTTGTAATTGCTCTTTTTATTCAAATCTCTTCCCTAAGAGTAACAGACAACCACCAAATTTAACCACTAGCCTTACAGCTAGCTGCCTGCAGGACCACTGTGCTAGCTACAGGGAGCATCAGGGCCTGGGGCAGATGGTGTGCAGGTGACAGTGGAATATCCAGGTGCAGTCAACAAATGATCAGGGTTTCTCTCTGGTTTTAGAAAGCTCGTCTCTAGAAATACTGAAGCAACCCTAATAACAAGAATCAGGCCTTCTGGAGACCTGTAAGTTTCAATACGACAGCCACTGCCAAGTTAAACAGCCACAACCACTTCACCTTTAATTGACTGTGATGGTTATTGTTCTTGAATATTATATCATGTATGAACACAGGCAACAACAGAGTCACTGAAAAATTCATAATCTAAAAGACAAAAGAACAGACTAAAGAATAGGGATAAATATAAGACATGCAAGTAAATGACCATGATGATGTACGTAACTCTTAAAAAAGGGATTCTGAGAAAGTCTGGTTTGGAATTCAGATGCTGCTCTGAACAACCAAAAAAATTGTTCTGGAAATTTTTCAAAGTAGTTTTCTTTTATATTTTCAGTATTTCTTATTCCTACTCAGAGAATCTAGAAATATTACAGCAGCATCTGTCTTCATTAAGTCCTTCTTCTTACATGCCTATCCAGAGTTGCGAAAGTGTGCAACAATGAAAAAGTATTGTTTTGATTCAAAATAAATGTCTCAAAAATCTCTGCTTATAGATACTATTAAGATCATTTACCCAAAAAGCAGGAAAAAGATTGTTCATAAACAATCAGACACTGAAGTACTGATTTATCGGACCTGGTATTTAAAACCAATTAGATATATTAATCACATATTACACTATCACTGTATAAGCCTTACAGGTTTACAGGGAAATACTCCCACAGACACTTGACAAAAATACCCTGGAATATTTTCACAGGCCAAACTGAGTGTGCACTGAGACCTTTCTTCATAACACTCTTAGTATTAATACAACTATACAACAGTCAGAAAGAAATTACTAACTACTGTTTTTCTTTCGCAGTAATCTAAATGCACTAGAATAAGAGAAAGGTATTTGGAGAAAAAAAATCCTTACAACAGATAAGAAAACATTTTTGTGCATTATATGGAGGGCACATTTTTGAAGGACTGTGAATGTGGGAATAACCAAATATAATCTTCTGAAGAAAGAAAGTGCAAACAAGCAGACATTTTGAAGTGTGACTCCTGCAACTGTCTGAACTCTTCTTCTCTATCACCTTCTCCAAATAAAAGCTCCTTGATACTGTCAATAGCTAAATGAATAATAATAAAAAAATATATATTTTGACACCTTTTGCCCCCCTCCATTCTCTGCATCTTCCGCTGCTTTGCTGGTCTTTTGAACACACTTTTGTATTTTGAATATCCTCAAATATAAAGGTTATAGGTTATGAACAAACAAAAAATTTCACTTTCAAATTTCCTGTTTCATTTTTGTCTCAGCCACAATTTTAACAAAAAAAACCCCAACCCCCCCCACAAAAAAAGATGCAAAATATTACAGTATAATAAAACTATAAAAATACACTCAGAAGTATTATCAAAGCAGTCAGAGTGATAACATGCATACAACTGTTAACACATACAAACTATTTATATACTTATTCATCTATTTATAATGAAGAAAAGACATGGTAAAAACAAAAGATAGCATGGAACTAACATGAGCAAGTTGATAAGTGGGGAGGCACAGCCATGTAACAGACCAGAGAATGAGGCAGAACAGGTGAATGGCAACAAGAATGCGAGAGGAATTAGAGGAAGCACAGCCAGAAGTCTTAGTAGTGAGAACATGCCAAAACAATAAAAGACCAGTTATGTTTTGTCTTAAGTTCTGTCTGAAAACTATAGTGGCTTTCTTCCCCCTTACGATGCTCTCTACTTGTGGAGAACCTATCCATTTTAAGGATAAAACTCAGTCCTCCTTCTGTGCTTGCATACTTCCTACATATTTTGCAAGTCACCATGTGTTGCTTCAGTTTTCTCTTTTGTAGGACCAATATTTATGTATTCTGTAAGAGTGCTTGTGGTCCTGGACTAGAGGAAACCAAACACAGACTTATTCCAAAGTCTGCTCATGTCAACAGGGAAATTTCCATGGATGTTTGTGTCCTTCAGATCAGACTTCGTATCCTGTAAACATGAAACACTAACAGCAGCAAAACGTCTCCAAATAGTGCTCTAACAGCAGCATTAGGAAGATGTCACAAACCACTACTACATTTTCAATCTTCTCATTGCCATTTTGACAATCTTTACATAAACTAAGGCAAGTTTCAACACTGCATCAGGATTTGTAGCCATAAAACCTTAACCTCATAAAACACAATTATACAATATAAATATTTCATAACAGTTGTAGTTTTTTAAGTAAAAAATTTCTCCTTCATTAACTTGAATTCTGCCACATTACTGGAATAGCAATTCTTTACTTGCATCCACATAGAATAACATCCATACAGATATATTTGTTGGACTTTTCTGTTATTACAATTAAATGTGTTGCTTATCATACCCACCCCCTCCCCCCAAAAATAAAAAAATTCAAGCTCAAATTATTGAAGAAAATCAAAGAAAAAACATAATGCAAATCAAATATACTCTAAACATGGCTGGGTTAGAGATAAACCAGTGAAATATAGCAGTGTGCAGAAAGCAAAGCCTGTACAAACTGGGCACATTATGGAAAGAAAGAAATCAGTCACCCATGCAAAATTACCCCTATTGGCCATCTGAGAACTGACAATGAAGTCAACTGTAAAGGCAGCTGAGACCAGCAGACTTCACCTAATTAGAATATTGGGGGGGAGGGAGAAAAAAATAATCAATGTACATATATGCATATACAGATATTTGGCAAAAAGCCACTACTTCAGATTTACTAATAATTTATAGACATACATATATATCTCTCTCTCTATATATATATCTTAGCTGTCCACTTTGTTAAAGCCATGATAAACTTATTTTCTCTGTATCTCCACATTTGTTTTGGTACAGACACATAGATTAAACCAGGAAATATGTCCTTCTGAACTGAGCATCAAGTAAATACCTTTATGCAGAAAATGAGAAAAATGCAGATAAATAAATTCTTGTGAATTAATGTTTATTTAGAAAAGACACCTTCAGTTCCTGTAACCCATGTAAAATATGCATGCAAAGACTGATCTTTAATACTTACGTTTATTCTTAACCTAGACCCATATACCATTCTCTTTCATTGAATGTAAGGGTTAAAGGTGAACTTTAACAATACTGTCATATTATTAAATTCATGTGACAGTAAACTATTATATCAGTATTTTTCAGAGCAGTGGAAGTTTTTTATTGTTTTCTTCATACTTCTTTCATTAATATGCTAAAGAAGGTTGGGTAATGATACTCCCATGATACTCAAAATAAAGACTCAGCCTGTCTATGCCAGGAAAGTAAAATTTAAGGAGGATGAGGGCATAAACACAGATCACTCTCTTTCCCTGTCCCTGATTCAGTACATACAGCTTGGTATGAGCTTCACTGCTATTCAACCAGAAACACCACTGGAAAATGCTGACAAAAGGCAACTGTGTTGCTCGTTAGCATATTTATAGGAGTACAAAACATTCAAGGCTCTAATTCTGTTTACTTTACTTGGCTATATCAGCAGTCTTGAATGTAGGAATAGGGACATCAGTAAGTATCTCAGCAAGTTTCCAAAAAACTTTGTCAGTTTCTTGCTAAAATTCCAGTTTCCTGTCCTCTGAAATGTACAGCTGTCCTTTAAGACAACAGAAACGGTTTGTGTTCTCCTGGATACGAAATGTAGATTACCAGTCAGTGTTGAGGCTGCTCCTTCTATTGCTTTTGAAATCTTTTTCAGGAATCAAGGATTCCCAAGGAATATAACACTGTGTCAGTGCTACTGGCAATATACAGAACCCAGTGGAAGACAAGGTAACTACACTGAGGCTTTTATTTACTGATGTCACAGCAATTACTATAAATATTAATACTGGAAACAAATTCAAACTTTACAGGCTCCCTCACCTACAGTAACCAGCTTTTGAAGGTATGATGTTTGCATTTAAAGTTCTGGAAACCAATGCAGCATTTGGATCTCCTTATAAAGGAAAAGTAGGCTCTAAGATCTCATTTAGAAACACATCATACAGAGAGTGAGACTCATAAAACTGTGGCTTTGACTATTCTTTAAAAAAAAAAAAAAAAAGAGCTTCAAAGAAAAAACTGGAGGCACTGGAGGAGAGCCAAAAAAGTCATACTCAAGTATGGAATATATTAAAAAAAGCTGGATCTCTGATAGAACAAAAATTTATCCCTCTAGGTTTTTCTGCTTTTGGATTTTTGGGGTTTTTTTAAGCACAAAGACTGCTTTGCACAGTATAGAAATGTATTCTTATTTAACAGACCTTTCAGAATGCCTTTCAAATTTAGACCACTAACTGAAAAAGCAACACAAGAATTTACCCTTTAAATTTGCAGCAACACTTTTTACTTCTTTTTCTTTATTATACCATCTAAACAGTTGGGATAAGGATGTTTCCCATCAAAATTTGACCAGCACTTTTTAGTATATTGTCTCTTACATATTCCTAAATCCTGTTAAAAAGAGAAAACTCCTTTACAAATAAAAATGGAAATGACAATAAAAAGCATAGAATCAATTACCTTTTAAATGTGATATCTGGAAGCATATAATAATAAACTATTTTTCACATATCCAGAAGGACATAATAATAAATTCTCTCATTTTTATTCTTATTTAATATTGCAATCTTTCACTTTGCTCTAATAATGCTTACTTCATAAGCAATATTTGTTAAGAAATCTGACTTTAAGATAAGTTCACACAAAGTTGTTTTTTACTAATAATTTGAATAATAATAATTTTTAAAGGCCTACTTGTTTAGAGGATTTAAGATCAAGTGTATATCAATTTAAGTAGGACTTTGACACTTGAGTGTCCTTGTGGAGCTGTCACTGTGTTATTTAGGAGCACAATTACTAACAGAAGCTATGAGTCATTCAGGCTGTGATTCCACAGTGTATTTCTCCTGTTGGCAAAGCTGACTTAAGCAGTTCCTGCCACCACCTCTATATCTTACCAGCTCATTTGTTCTCTTCACCTTGCCCTGAGCCCTTCATTTTAATCCTTCATTTGTGCCAATACAAAGGTTTGTCAGGCTCCCAGGTGAACCAGATTGGAGACATTATCTATATTTTAAATAGCTATACAAACCCTACTCTTCCATTTTGGCAGACATTTCTAACTCGGAGGTCCCTGATCAGAATAACCAAGAATACTACCAAACAGACAGGGGTGATATTAGGTTGCCTACAAGCAGGCTGGGGTGAAGAACAGGAGAGAGCAGGGAACCATTTAGGTCAGCTTTACTTCCAAGATAAACATTTGTAAAACTGTGATCTTGTATATTTATCTTAGGTACAAATACCCATCCTCACAATTCAGTGGGTATCAAAACTGCCTTACTAACCCATGGCTCATTGGTATGCTTAAGAATGAGAATGACAACCTCACTGCAGTTCTTAATGTTTCCAAACTACAAAATTCACTGTCTTAAACAGGAATCTTGTTGGCAAGACCTAGCGATCTACAGAAGGAAACTGTTAGAAGTGTCCCACCAGTGGTAGGTTTGAACAACAGCAGCTGGGCAGTATGATGCACTAGCAGGTACCTGGAGCTATTGGAGTTGAGATGAAATGGATCACTACGAAGATGTTCATTTCTTACTGCCGAAAATTCCTACACAACTTTGACCACATGACTACCTCTAAGACAGTCAAAGTCAACTGTTCATGCCACAATCACCAGCTTGTCTCCAAAGTCCTGTGAATGTCAAGGAGCTTTCCTTTTGCTCGATCAGTGACTCAAGGGTCCTAAGTTTCACATGACAAGAGTTCAAGAAAGTTCAATTTCTACTTACATAGTGTAATGAAGTAAACATACCTACAAATATATTAATCTCTAAGTTTTCATTGACCACCAACCTAGCCTCCAATTAAGTTTTCAAATTGAAAATTTTCTTTAAAATCTGACCTCTGTAATTTTATTGTTCTCTCACTGTGAACTATCACTTTACTTTTCTTCTTTTCTCATACAACAGCTACACTGTAAAACAAACTGCAGTCTCAAGGACAGTAACACTGCTTTCAAAACTACTGTGTAGCTTGGTTCTACAGGAATAACAAGGAATATATGATTAAGGCTGCCAAAACAAGCGTTCATTTCTCAGATGCGAAGTCATAAATGTCTACAGAAATGCCAAAATGCATCCTGATGCGAAGGATTATTACACATATTTTTAAAACAGCTGCTTACAGTTAGAGGAAGAATTTCTAGACTATATATCGTCAAAGATATCCATAGTAGGAAACAACATTGAAAACACTGCTTTGCTCCTTAGTACAAAGACATTCATAATACTACCAGATTATTTGAATGCTCTGCATTCTACAATTAAAATGTTTGAGAATGTTAAACTAATTTCTCTGTGAACAATTCTGGTACAAAATACCTTGTAACTAATAGACTACCAGGTTAGAAAGCACCACATAGTTCTTTGTTGCATGCAGTAAAGGGCATTTAGAGGGCACAATTGTAACGCATCAAAGCTCTATTACTTTTTTGGAATAGCAGAGGAAAAAGAATAAAAGGAGAAAAGGTTACTCTGAGTATTGCTATAACTTACTGGTCCTTTAGCCAGTTGGTAACAAAAGGAATGGAAAAGAATTCTGTGAATGACTCATCTTTCCTCTTTGGGTTCTTGCTGATAACAAAAAAAAAAAAAAAGAAAACAACTCATATTAATTTAAATTTCAGCTATTCTATTTGCAAATTAATGTCTTTGAATCATTGAGCATAATTAATAGTAAAAGCCACAATTAACTTACTTGTATAACCACTCAGTTAGGAAATCACAGGCAATAAATTTGGTCCTTTTTCTCTAAAGACAGAAGATAGTTTCAAATTATTTATTATCTTTGGACTGGTCATATGTTTTTACTACTGGAGAGGAACAGAAGCTAAATTGACTGCTTTTACTAAATAAAATATGCAGTACATTACTCTGTCTACTTTAATATTGCTACTGCCAACAGTCAGTGGCTCAGCCAAAATTTTAGAAATTTTGTGGAATGCTTTAAAGTCAAATCAAAAAATGAGTGAGAAAATTTTACATATACTATCTTGATATTTGCTGTAGTATAGCTATAACAAATCTCTCTGAATGGTATTCTTTCTAAGTGGCAATCTCATTGCAAAGAAATTAACAGAACTCATATATGAAAATACGTTGTAAATTACTTTCCATTTTGTTCAAATTTTTATTATCATACCTAAAATACTTCATTACTTCCAAGGCAGAGAAGGAACATTGATGGAATATTGTTTCCTCCTGCATGGAACCAGCTTGAAGGCATTGTGCATACTTAGAAACACACACAGAGCAGAGTATTGTATATGGCTGCTCAGACAAAATTGTTGGGTAGTCCAGAAAGAAAGACAGAAACAAGGCATATGTATATCCACAACCACAGATACATTGGACATTACAGAGAATCAGGTAAAAAGTTCAAAATCTGGAGCTTCAGAACAAAACAGTTGTGCCCTTTGCTCCCAGTTCTAAGACTTCTTCACCAGCAAAGAGAATTTTGCAAAATGCTTTGCAGCGGTTTATCTGTAGCGACTCATGCAGCCAGTACCTGTTTAGCTGGACAGCATTGCATGCTGTAAAAATGTTTTGAGTTCGAAATTCGAAGGATGAATTTTGATCAATAAAGAATTGATTAGGGCCTTTCTTTTCTTAGAGATTTCCTCTCCACATTCCATCTCTACAGACTGAGTGTACAAATGAGTATGGGTGCTTATTCTGCTTATCACAAACCAGAGTAACCATGATGTGGAGAATATAATGTAGACTTCTGGTCAGAGTAACAGAAGAGCTTGACTCGTATTTTCTGAGTCCCTCTTACACAAGATGTGTTATGGCTGTACACGGCCAGAGAGTGAACACTAAAAGACATTTAAGCCCCTGCAGAACACAGACACTGAGTGCTTTATCAAAATAGCAGCCATTTAGCTAGGAGAAAGCCTAGCTCCTATCCAAAAGGTAATACTTACCCTGTCAAATGGGAGATTCAACTGCTATTATTACTTTTTAGGAAAACAATTCACACTGGTCAAACACATTTGTGAAATTGCCAAATGTCATGAAAGAGGTTGGAATCTTGATTAAAATGTAAGAAATGAAAGTACTATTACCACTTGCTAAGAAAAATACAATAGACATGTAATTGGAAATTTAATGCATGACGGATGACTTTATTCCATGTATTATCCTCACCACCCATGTTTCCCCCTGTGCTACAAGAATACAATGCAAAAAGGACTGAGGGCTGTGAACAGAGGCAGAAAAAAAGTGCTCTACATGGCATAATTCTTTCAAAGTTTGGGGTATTAGCACATGGCATAATTTGGGGGTAAGTGTATTACTTACAGCCACAGGTGAAGTGGAAGAGGAACATTATGTGAGATGTTGACTGCACAGTGAAGTATACAGGGTAGTCATGTAGCCAGGGGATGACAAATGTGAAGTTTAGAGCTAGACTGCATGGCATTCCTAGATGATACCCATGAAAGCTTTTACTTTTCTAAATGAATCTTATTCCTGGCAGACATACAGTCTGACTCCCACAGAAAAGAGAGAACTTCTTTAAAAAAAAAAAAGCCAAAGAACAGAAAAAGAGAACATTGCACAACAGTTATCAGTCCTGAACCCCATATGCCTTTATGGTCTGTTTCATGACCACAAAAGCTTTGGGGTTCATGTAGTGCTCCATTAGAGTACTTGGCTGTGAAGAAATGCATCTCCTTAAGGAATTTCCACACTTACGCTAATACCAGATACTGTTCCCAGAAGCCAAACGCCTAAGCTTTAAGACACGAATGCCTTCACTGGAGAACTTTCTACAGGTCATTTTAGATGTTAAATGGGCAAATTCTGACCTGAACAGACTCCGAAAACAAATAGCAGAGTCTGATCATCTTTGTACAGCTATTCTCAATCAGAGTAAGAAACTGGGTCCCATTACTTAGCGAAATGTTTCAGAGAATAAATTCTATACTTTGACAACAAAATTCAGTTTAAACTAGCAGTTGTAATTTAATCCGCTTTAAGTAAATTGCTTTTTCTTTGCAACAGGAAAAAACGATCAGAACAGTGTTGTTGTCAAAACAGTCATCAACAAAGGAATTAAATTCATCTTGCTTTATCCCTGTTAGATCCAGTGAACTTATCAGGGAGGAATTTGGTCAAGCTGAATATTTTTTTATTTTGTTATTTTTTTGCCAGGAAACAGTTCACTTTACTAATGAATTAAATAAATCTTTAGTTGCCCAGCAGACAACATTGATAGAAGGGAAAAAATGACATAAATTGACCTGCCTTTGACACATCCCTATGCTACACGAATCAGGATAAACACAGGAAATATCTGCACAATGTGCATTGTTAACCTGCAGATGTGTTTATAAACTGTTTATACTCAGAATTCATTTTCCATTTTTCAGTTTAAATATGATGGGCTTGGTAATAATCATGCAAAAAAACTGGTGATCAGGGATGGCAAAGTCAGTAGGAAACCTTCTTCCATTCACTTTCCCTGATCTATTATACTTTTAAATATAATATATTCCATTACAGAGTCTGATACAGCATCTTCTTTCTGTGACCATGAACCAGAAAGAAAAATCAGTTATGCTAATAAAAACATTTAAACACTGTTCAGTTTTAATGCTGAAAAATGAATGCATTAGTCAGTTCTCATGAGAGAAAAGATTTAAGAAAATAGTCTTTCCCCTGGAGACATTTGACAGCAGATAGGATAAAGCACAGGAGAACTTATAGTAGGGAAAAAAAATAATCAGCAAGGGAATACACTGGGCAACCTAATAGGTTTCTTTCATCTCTAATTTAAAAATGAAGCTTCTGCAGACTGTTCTCATATTTATGCCAGTTTGAAGTCTGCAAATATATCTAGCAGGTGGTGGTTTTTCTAGGTTTTTGCTGTGCAGATTTTTCATCCACACTACATAATGCAAGAGAACCTATTTTAAATGAAATGCTTAAGTTGTTATGCTTCTATATCACCTTCCAAATAAGATCTTGTGGATTTCTTTCCTACACAAATTACTACTTTCAGTATAACTGTCTCCCTTTCCTGACTTTCCCATCTGATTCTACAATTCTTCCTTTCCAGACATGGATGTGTCTTTTCTGATCTCTTCCTTGAATTCCTCTGCTGGTCCCATGATCTGATCTCCCTTACGCCAATTTCAATTGCTAAACAACTCTCCTGTTTAATTTTTCATTCTCTTCTCATTCATCTTCATTCTCCTTCAAACATGAAAACCTTTCGTCCCTCCCATCAAAACCCCACTCTTCATTCTCCCTTGCAATTCCCTCTCTCTTCTCCCAGGCTCATTCAACGTTGACTGCAGTCAGTTTGATTGTTCCTTTCTTCCAGTGATTCTTCCATTTATCTTCCACTGGTTTCTTCTATTGGAGCTGCCCTTTACAGGCTTTAATGACTCACATCTAGCCAAAATTCAAACCCAGTATTCTGTACTCATCCTTCATGATTTCAGTTAGCTTAATCACAATTAATCACGTTCCTCTCCTGTTCTCTCAAGAATTCCATGGATCTTTCTACTCTTTGTTCTCCTCCTATTTTTGAAGCTATCTTCTGGTGTGTTTATCACAGGATCCTTTCTTCCTGTCCCTAACTTTATCTGGGTTTCTAAAGGCTCTGGTTTTGATCCTAAAAATCAGTTCAAATTATTGCACTAACCATTTTAATGTAAATTATAGCATCTTTTTTTTTCTCAAAATCCATATGGAACAACACATTTCTTATGAAACAGAAGTATAATTAGCAATTACATGTTTAAGTCAGATAAGGAAACAGAATGTCAAAGTACAAGCACCTGGACAGTAATGGAAAAGAACACAAATATTCAGTTATATGGCAAGCATAAAGAGCTATTGTTTTACTAATTATTGTTCAAAAGGAGGAAGAAATGATGTCACAGTGGAAAATTATCATCTGACATAAGCTTGCTTTCCTAAACTTCCTTCCACAATAGCAGGACACCTCTCTAGAAAACAACAAAAATCACTTAGTGTCTTTTTTTTTAGATGTGCTCATTTTTATGAAGTTTCTATGCATTAGAAAAGAATTGGGTTTATTAGTTTATTATAAAGCAACACACAGACCCATACAAAATCCATTTTCAGAACAGATACTTTCTAATCTATATACCACTGAAGCTCTGCAAAATTTCTCAGATTAAAAATAGCTGAAGTAACCTTAGATTTGTCCTGAGTTTGAAATGGAAATATTTCTAAGAATTCTCATATTTTTGTATTAAGTGCTGGTTTATTGCCTTCAGAAACATGTAACATCTAGCAAGGACTGTATGTTAAGCCAGCTGTAAGGCATGACTTTTTCCTGTTAAAGGATATGTGCTTCCCTTAAAAAAAAAAAAAAACCAAAACCAAATCAATATAAATTTCATTAAAAGTGTGATGAATAATATATATGTTCAATCTGTTCTTGCCTAGGTAATGTAAATGGGATGTCAGGAATGATGTACAGAGATGTCGTGCCGAAACAACACGTAAATGAACCATTTTCCTATTCCACCTGTATTAATCACAGATTATAAATACATATACATGCATCTATAAATCAATCAATTTATAGACACACACAAATCTTGTGAAGACTGAGCAAAAACTGAAATAACTTACTGTTATTAAATGTACAGATTTGGATTTGAAATGCAAGTTTGGGGTGTCCATTCAAGTGTGGTAAGCTTTGTGTCTTTTTGGCTGTGCCAGGCATGTATAGGTCAGTGGCAAATAGCACACATGTAATTTTTACAAATTGTTCCACAATGACTGTTATCGTACGTACGCATGCCTATAACAGGAACTCAGTGTCAGTGGTTGGAGAGGAGATAGATCAAGACCTAAGATAATTAATAGCCCACTAGTAACACAAAGTCCTCCTCACTTCACTATCATTTTAATTTATAACATTTTAATCTATAACCCCAAGAGCACAAACTGTATTCCTCAGATGTGCATCATGTACAAAAAGGGAGATATTTTCATTGTAATTTATATTAATTACTCTTTATACTATGAAGCTGCAAGTAAGAGGAGGCTCCGCTGCAGGCATAAGAATACAGAGATGTTTTACATTGGAAAGCGTGGATGACAGGCAGAAAGTAGGAAAGAAACAGAAAAAAAAAATTACTTCCATGGTTGGAGAAAACAGCAGAAATGATGGAAAACCCCACAACTCCCGGTACCTAATCTATTGCTGGGGGTCTGTGAGTTAGGCTATGATGATACAATGAGCTTTATTTTGCACCAGTTCTAATGCTTTTTTAAGCATTCCCTGTATACAGTGAGGAATGTCTCCCTAGATATGTTTACGCACACATACACTGAAATCAAATTTATAAAAATATATGTAGCAAACAATGATTTCTAAAATGTGCAATTTTTATAAGCTCATTAATGCTGAATACCCTGCTTTCCAATTAAATGAAATTTACACAGAATGTTAAAAAGCTAAAATACAAAATATACCTCTGTTAGGATGCCAGCCCACCAAAAATAATTGAGTAATGAAGTAAAATTCAAATTCTTTACATCACCCTCAAATGAGTGATACGTAATCTGAAAGGAAGCCTGTTTCTCTAAAATACAACGCTATTTAGGCTAGATACAACTGGATATTTAAGGAGGATTTGTTGTGAGTTAGAGATTGTCATAATGATTAAGTCTGTGTAGTATGCAATCAGTTCTGAATTACAGGAGAAAACAACATTCAAGACCAGATCCAAAACAACTCATGATATGTTATTTCATATTATTGTGGTTAGTTTTCCTGCAAAAGATCAAATAAAGAAATACAGCCTGTGAAATAAAAGGCTGTAACTTCCTGCCAATGATTTGAACTTAAAACTAAAAACTAACCTCGAAACACTTTTCCTTCTTTGCTTGATGCAGAAGTTCAGCCATTCCAGGTAAGAGTACTGGAAATATGTAATACTCTAAGTATTCTCGAGGAGAACCTGAGCAAAACAGTACAGCCTTCACTTACAGGTAAGCACTTAGATTTCACAAAAAGATGAACATTAGATATCATAAACTAAGTATCAGTCATTTTATCAATACCAGCACAGCTTGAACTAAACAGATTAATTCAGTTCAGATACAGCCACAGATCTGTCTTCACTTCTCTTCAGCCAAGACAACATAAAGTTGAGTAAATTTCAAACTAAAGGTGCATCAACACCGCCTCAGAGATGTCAGACTTAGTTTTAATTGAGTAAACTCAGACACCAAAAGCAGTTTAGTCACGGAAATGAAAAGCGATGTGGACTAATTTACACTGACAGAATGAAAAGTAAATTAGCCTCTGCTGAACTCAGTGCTGTTACAGCTAGACCACTTTTGGTACCTATATTCATGCCCTTTACAAGCTGCAGTAACAGAGTTGGTCGTAAAACTGAATTTCTAGACAGAGGAAAAAACAAAGGTTATATTTTAGCGGTGCTGTGATTTCTTTCTCATAATTACTTCCTACTTGCCAGATCCTTCAAAATTTGAACATGACTCCATATACCCAATTTTTTCCACCTTGGGAGGGCGGTCTGGGTTGGCATCTCTCTCTCATGTTTGACTGCACTGCCCTTACATGAAGTCTACATGTGCTCACACACATTGGCATCACTGAGTTCAATGCAGAAGAAAGCAGCTGCAGTCAGCTGTCCTATTGCTCATGCTCTACATGTAGCCCAATGGCTACCTGCTTGCTCAACTGATAGACTCAAGCTCTGTTTCTTCTCAGCTTTTCCCCACATCTCCATCTTCCCTAATGGGACCTTTCACCATCAGCTTATAAACTGGGTGAAGTGGAGGAGCCTTCTACCCCTTCTGATGAAGACACTGCACATGGAGGAACTCAAGTTCACTGGGCCAGAGGGAAGAGGGAGGATGACCCTGTATGAAACCATAAGAGAACTTCCCTCAGAAAGGTGAACAAACCCAAACCTGTTAGGATCCTAGACAAGCAGTGGTGGCTTATTGGCTGAAGTGCTGTCCTTGATTTAAAGCCAGACTGCTTGCCATTCAGTAAGTATTCCGGTTTTGGTGTGGTCAGTAAAGGTTAAGTTATAGAAGTGTTCTCTTTTGGCAACACAGGTGAAACACTGAATTTATTCTCTGCTTTATACCTTTAATTGGTTCACACACTGCCAGAAAATGTTCGTAATTGGAAGGACACTATATATATGTAGTCCTGGTTTCAGCTGGGATAGAGTTAATTGTCTTCCTAGTAGCTGGTACAGTGCTATGTTTTGAGTTCAGTATGTGAAGAATGTTGATAACACTGATGTTTTCAGTTGTTGCTCAGTAGTGTTTAGTCTAAAGTCAAGGATTTTTCAGCAAAAATTTTTTTTGTCTTTCTCTGATTTAAGTCACTTATTCAGAAGAGAACAGAACTACCTTAACAGCTAGACAATGCAACTGATTTGTAATGCACCATTTGAGCTTTCTTCCACTGACCAAGTGGCCAAGCTGGCTCCCTGTTTACAGACCAGGGGACTAATCATGCAAATTCCACTTAAGAAAAGGTGTTGTAGCTCTTTACACTTTAAATTCAACAAATGACAACCCTTGACAAATCCAAGAAAAATAATCACAGCAGGTTCAAGATAGTATACTCTTACTTACATGTTTTTGGATTAGGTGGTTCTGAAATGGGGGCTGCCTCAGGTATGGGAAGTGACTGTTGGATAACAGTATCAGCTGCAGAGTCTGAATAAAATTGTTCCATATGTAATGGCTGCAATATTCCTGCTTCTAAAGACACCTGTTCAAGAGAAATGTAACCTATATAAATACCCCAATCAGACTGTAAAAAAATATAGAAACCAATTCAACAGGAAAAATTATAAGGTCAGTTAAAAAAAAAATGACTTATAATTTCTAATTCAAATATTAAATTATTTCAGTATTTTTTGAGTACTTTAAAAGAAAGAATTACACTTTAAAAAATTCTGCAGTTTCCAGCACAATAAAAATGTCCAAACCTAACAGAAAGTATATGACTGCTTTTAAGAGAATATGGTGAGATATCACAATTTAAAAAATATTTTAGCCATTGTAAGAAACAGTAATTCTTTGAAAATTAAAATTGGCAACATTTTCTGAGTAAGTGTTTTTCCACTCAGAAGCTTATATATTTGTTTCTGTATTGTTCAGAAGTCCTGACACTCCCCTTTCAAAGAAAAGAAACCTTCCTTCTAAAGAAAGCAGAAACAGAAATTCAGAGCAGATGTAAATCCAAATCTTAAGTTTCCCCATACAGAAACAATTATGGATACCATGAAAAAAGATAGTCCACAATTTTACGTATGGTTTTTAGGAGTGCAGAAACCACTACAGTGAGCCAGAAGAATACTCCTAACAGACACTGAGCAACGCCTGTTATAGAAAGGCAGATAACATCATTTTATCCCCAAGAATGCACCACCATTACAGTTTGCTATGAAAACATGTTATGAAAACTATGTCATCTAAACAGTTTCACTTTAAAATGCAGTTGGATTTATGAGCTACTGAAAAGCAAGTGGTGGGATCAGGGCACTATACTTATAATACACTGCCTGTCAATGACCGCAGATAGACTCCTTTTTAACGTATGCAAGATTCAAAAAATTATCCTTTTGGAAATTAAAAAAAAAAGTGCAACAACATAAAAAGGTATATTATTTTATTTTGATGCTCAAATATATCAGTATATTATGCCCAGACTAACGCCCCAAGCAGAGTTTACTACTCGAATTTAATAACAGCTTGTAATGAAGCCAGTTTCATTTGGGGAAACAGCACAGGTCTAAACAGACCAACTGTCAGACAATTTAAACTATAACGTCTTGAACTGGTTTTAAAATAACAAAGTAACCTAAAACAGAATAATAAGAGAAAATGTCTACAAAAATGCCTAATTTAGATGAAAGTTAGCTCTATGTGATGCCCAAAAGAATTAATTTTGCTGCTCCTAGAACTGCTGGGGACAGAGATTTAAAGTGGTTTGTCTTTCTTAAGTTTTTATGTCTGCCAAACAAGTCTTTGTAGACTGAATTTATTGGGTCAAAATTAGATTTCAAACAATTTTGATCAGGTTTAATTCCACTAATTTCAATGGCCACCTCGAAGTGACCTATCACATATGTGAAATTGGGGCATAACTCCTTTGCTGCACTTGCTCCCCTCTGCTGTGTATTTCAGCGCTCAGTCTGCTTGCAACACCACCCAAAGGAGACCCTTGCACACTTCAGAGTCCTGCCTACGAAGCAGTCACAGAAAAAAGACAGCGAGATGTACAAACCAAACACAGCTGGTAATCTAATTTTAGGATAGTGCTACCCAAGTTGCTTTAAATAAAAGCAATGATTTAGAATATTACATTTGCTGATTCACAAAAGTTGTTTGCAAAATGTAGTTTTGTTTTCGTTTTATGAATGAGGCTACTCTGCGGGTACCTAATTTTCCCATTTAGCTATTTAAAATCCTTTAAAACCAGCCCTATGCAGAGTTTTTACTTCAACTATACTCACAGATCCATGTTTTGATTCAGGAACATCTGGAAATTGAGGCTGTTCTGCTTCATACTCTAAAAGTAAAAAGAAAGAAGACTTTAAAAGCTTATTTCTTATTCTCGTAAACAAACGTTACCTTCTAAAGGTACTTATTCTGGTTTCAAACAACAAAAATTAGTATATAATATTTGTTTAACATGAAATCTAATGTTTCAAAAAGAATGAGAATCTTAGTGCCTCTCGTCTTGGCTTTAAGTCAAGTTCAAGGTTCTCTGATAAATTTTTAACCAAAATAATAATGTAAAATACTTTAATGTAAACAAAATGCAGATGCTTGCACAGAATTAACCATTGGTTTTAGTAGTATGTAATAGGGCTTTTCAACCTGAATTCCTCTATAAGCAATTAAATCCCCAGAACATTGCTAAGTATTACCGTCTCCACTTTCAAAAAAAAAAAAAAAAGCAGTACATGATCCACATAGGTTACTGAGTGAATCATGCTCGCTAAGAAAAATAAAGGAGGACGACAATGGACGTGATATGAAAAAACCTTACAGATTTCACAATACAGAAAATTCTTACAGGCAAACCCAGCAGGTTTACCATTCTACCACTATAATCAGGAGATTTACTGGCATTGCTACTTCCACGTGTAGTACAGATGCCTCAGCTGAATCACATTAGAATAAGCGACTTTATTCCTACATTAACAATGGCCATTTAAACGCAAAATACCCACTTTAAGGCATTATAAAGTACTAAGTGAGGAAAACCCCATTTGGGCACTGCAAATCTATGGTGCTGGTCTTTCAGCTTCTCGACCAAATCTCGGTGCTCTCAGGTTTTAGGAAAACACCAAGACTTTTGCTATTAAAATCGGACTCTGATAACAGAAGTTTTGTATTCATTGAACTTGCAGAATAGCAATAACATTGTGACCTCTGCTTTCCCAAGGCAATAATCCAACCCCATTACCGGGATAATCCCCAAAGCTGCACCCACACAGGGCGCGGAGGGCCGGGTGGTAAACCAGAGGCCGTGACACTACTGCAATAAGCCGGGTCCTTTCAGCCCTACCGCCACCAGGAACACGGACAAAGGTATGTTTCTGTCAGGAGATGATGACAATAAGAAGTGAGGTAACGCTCGTGAGCGGAACCGCTTTCGAACTTGCTCTCAGCGGTGATCAGGGCGGGTTTTTAGCACCCTTCTGGAGGCAGGGACGGCCAACGCGCTTCCTCCGGGCCGCCTCAGCTCGCCGGCTCCACAGCGCGGACACGGGCACGGGCGCGCCCCCGGCGGCGGGGCAGGAGGCGGCCGGCCTCG